ATTTGGTGTTTAAAGTTAATAACGAATAATGAAAACTTGTACAATATGATGAAAACATAAATGAGCTGTCAACTAAAAATGCAAAGTTTGGAATTGACAATGTCAAAACCACAACTACGTGTAATTTCTATTGCAAGTCTACTACAATTACTACGAGCTGTGTGAAAAGAAAATTACACGCAGAGAAACGAACTACTACTAACTGACGTCAAAAACTCTGCTATTCTGAACTACGTTGGGATTAATTACAGTATTTATACCGGTAGTTCTATGATTATAGACGGCAAAGGAAATAAACAGCAGGCGCAGGCAGTTGTGTATCACCGACACGACAACAAAGAAGCCATACATCTCTACATTCTATATGCGAGCAATCAACTAAGTTTCACTATATTTATCACAACTTTATAGACAAAAGAAACAACATCAAATCTTTTATTTTTTGATGATAACGTCCACCTCAACAGTACTGGTACTAGGGTTAGTGTTAGCAACCTAAAACGCTACATATACAGAGCAGTTGTATTCAATAGAAGCCAACAACATAGCACGAAAAGAAACGAAACACCCAGCGAACGGAGAAATGTACATCAAAACAATTTCCAGTCACCCACGCAACATTTATACAAAGACAGCTCAAGAAAGGAAAGTATAAAGAACTTGTTCTCCTGTATTATGAACATTATTGACTGTAAATAGAATATGCAAGTATATGCTTAGACAAGTTTTGTACAATCTCAGCTTTATTATATAGATTTAGAATAAGGTATTTCAATACGCATTTTATAATCATGACTTTCTCTTCGTCATGACTTCAATCTCAGCGAAGAAAGCCTGCCTGAAATTTTCAGCCTAGTGCAGAAAATCAAAAATCACATTTTCTTAGATAGTACTAGAGATTTTGATTTTGTTAGTCTAGTAGAAACGAAGACAGACATATATTTCCAAATTAGCATCCCTAATTATAGCCATATACATTCCTTTAGATCTACTGAACATAAAAAAATCAAAGGGATTGTCCTGTACTTTAAACAATACATAAGAAAAGGATTAAGCAAATGCCAAGCAGTAGTGAAGATTTGATCTGGATTGTTTAGATAAAACATTTTTAACCTAGATGGGGATATCTTCCTCTGCACAATATACTTGAGCCCACAGTTCTTTAGTATATTTAAATGGAAGAACTCAAACCTATTTGAAGTATTGGAGAAAGACATGGCTAAATATTCACAATTTGGTTCAATAATTCAAACCGGGGATATTAATGCACGAACTAAAAATGAACCCGGTGTGGCATATTTTGAGAATTCAATAACACAATCTACAGGTACAGACAATTCAATCAGATTAAAGGCTTCCCAAGACCGAGCAATTAAGAATCTGTATGTCAGTCAGCTGTTAGAATTGTGTATGAACACAGGTGCAGTTATGACAGCTGTATTGGAGATCTCACTGGGAAATATACATGCTACCAGAATAAAGGTAGTAGTATAGTAGACTATACTGTATTTAGTAAGAATTTATTTAAAAACATATCTTTATTTCATGTACACCCATTAAATTTAAATTTATCAGACCACTGACAATTGTCTTATCACTTTCAAACTAATGCTCTTAATATTTCTAATTCTGACACATCTCAAATAGGCTCATCTCCAATCTTAGAGCAGCACAGGTACTCATACACTTGGAATGAGACATCCAAATATCTTTTCTACAAAGCATTACAAAGCAAAGAAATAAGTGATATGATTGATAACTTTAATGCATGTAATTTTACTAATACACAAAAAGCAGTAGATGAAGCTACTAATATAATTTCTAATATCTACCACAGGGCAGCTGGTAAAAGTTTAAAAAAACGTAAAATTAAAAACAAAACAAAAAATACATAGAACATAATCCCAAATGGTACACAAATGACCTGATATGTCTTAAAAAAGATTTACGTAAGATGTCTACACAACTATCCATTAATCATTTCAACAAAGAGTTTAAAACTGCCTGTTACGCCTTGAAACGTAAATATAAAAAACTTGTTAAAAAGAACAAGAGAAGAGAATATGAAAAGGACCTACTGAGTAAATTAGATAAAATTAGTAATTCATGCCATGGTGATTATTGGAACCTAATAAGTGAGCATAAAGGTAGGCAAGATAATAATGATTGTGAATATGTTTCTGAAACAAAATGGCATGGACATTTCAAACTTCTCAACAAAAATAATAAGGATAATGATGAGAATTTAATAAAAGAACAAAATAATATGAATAACACACCTATTGCTGAATTAGATCAACACATTTCTCAATTAGAAATTCAAACAGCAATTGTTCTCTTAAAAACAAAAAGTCTCCAAGATATGACCGCATAACAAATGAAATACACTTATTAAACCAATTCAAGAGCTATTTAATCTAATCTTAAATAGCGGCCAATTTCCGAGTGCATGGAATTTGGGAATTATCACCCCTGTCTTTAAAAAAAGGTGATAAATCTGAACCAGCAAACTACAGATGCATCACTCTGCTTAATAGTCTGAGTAAGGTATTCTCTTCAATTCTGAAACAAAGATTAATAAAACAATATAATAATATAATAATGAAAGAACAAATTGGGTTTATGCCAAAGTTCAGTACAGCTGATCATATCTTTGTGTTGAAACAATTACTGATAAAACACCTCAATGGATGGTAAAGGCATACTTAATTGAGGGGAGGCAAGGGGGGTAGCTGGTACGGTTTTACGGGAAATAAAAAGGGCTTTTTACAATTTACAAGGAAAAAAAGACGTTTTTACAGTTTACAGTGTTAAAAAAGGAACATTGAATGGTCCGACGAGCTCTCCGGCTCAAATTCTCCGCCATTGCTGCGCCGTGTGTAGAGATGCACGCGCATATTACCCTCGTAATGCTCTTCATTCGGTTAGAGGGCCTTTAACGTCTTGACATTCAATTTTGTAGTGAATTGTGTCATCTAGTCGTTTTACAGTTTCTATAATATAATTTCCCTGGATTATTCTTTACGATTTTTTTATTTGGATGTAAATTTTTGTACGTACCGAGAAAAAAGACACATTTGTACAGTGTACGAAAAAAATATTTGATGGATTACGTTGTACGTCTAGCCTGTGATTACAAAATTACGGAATTTATTTTTTCAATTTACGTAGTACGAACAAAAAAATATTGCAATTACGTTGAACGAAAATAACCCTTGCCCCCCCCTCTTAATTGGGTATCTGGTATCAAAAATATTCTGCACTATCTGGAAATGGATAAATCATGGGAAAATAATGATCCAAATTATAACACCAATCTAATCAACACAATTTGCATTAAACTCAAAAAAGTATTCGAAAACAAGAGTCAAGAACAAATGCATGATGATAGTAAAAACAAAAAACAAAAGAATAAGCTAAAGACTGCTAAAGAAAAATTACCAGTATGAAAATTATTTAAGAACAGTAACAAATGCAAAACATAGAGCAGCATTAACAAAATTGAGAATTAGTGCCCATAATTTAGAAATAGAGAAAAGACGATACAAACAAATTCCTTGCAGTGGTAGAAAGTACACTGCTTGCGATCAAAATGAGATTAAAAGACGAAATAAATTTAAACTGTTTAAGGAAATAAATTTAATACATTGCAACAACACAAATACCAATAAATTGATTACAATGCTAACAAGCAAAAAATAACAAAACTAGAAAGCTACATCTATAACTGTTTCAGTGACAGAAAATCATTTCCAAAAAACTACCAGCTGCCCCTAGATAAAAACAAATTGTTAGCGCTTCCATTTTGTTACTTTCTCAGTTTTTCATCTTTATTGTAATTTACTTTTTCTGAGTCAATATCCAAATAAGGATACGATTATGCAATGGGCCATTCCAGTTTATATCTGCACCCCCCTGTTGATGAGCTTGTGTGTTTACTTCATACAAGGTATAATTTCCATGGGTGTATAAGTCATACAAAGTTTTATTTCCAAATCACCATTCACCATACAGTAATGGTAATCCAAAACTATAATTCCTACTTATGGTGTTGATGAGTTCCTTTGTGCCACCATACAGAGTAGGATTTCCAAATATAACTTTCATCATATGCTAATTTACCAAGTTCAAAATTTTATATTTGATAATGGAAATCCAAACTAGTACTGATTCACGGTGTTGATGAGCTCATTCGTGCCACCATCCTGATCTAATTTCAGTAATAACTATTTCATACTGGCCCAATTTTTTTACCATATACAGTCAGAATTCCATGTTTTTTTAGTCATACTGTTGGAAATCCAACCTCATCAATCGGTATGTGGCGAGATAAACTAAGCCATATTTTATTTAGTAGCTATAACTGCCTGGATTTCCAGGATTTTTTTTTCCATACTCGTCTGGATTTCCAGATTCTGTTTCTCCATATACAGTTGGAATTCCGGGGTATTTTCCCCATCATACAGTGCTGGAAATCTGACCACATCAACGGGG